ATTTTCAGGATAGCGGACTCTAAGCCCAAAGTTCAGTTTCCATTTCATCTCCTATAGAAGCCATAGGCAACCCCCTTAAACCCTGAACCCTGACCTTTACACCCGAAGCCCTAGCCTTGAACTCGTAGTTTCAGCCCTACACCATACTGGGGTTTGCACAGGGGACCTTAACTTGGACCAGCTTCCTGCCCACGAATTGGTGATTTGGGTTTTAGGGTTGAGGGTTTTGCGTATCGGGCGGAGGGTTTAGGGTCGAGGGTCAGGGTGTAAGAGTTTGTGGATTAACGAAAGATGAAGCTATGTGGGTTGAAGGATCATCCTTGAGCTCCTAAGTTTTAAGCCCATGCTCATATGCAGCTTCTACAGAGCTGATGTGGTAGATTCCTAAAGTAGCACCTACGGTTGATGGACAAAAGCCCCCATGACCCTAGGTACACCATGTCACTGCAGTTCGGAGGTTGCATGTACGCGGGGTCATGCAGCGCTCTGTCCAACAGCCAAAATGTCACTAAACCTTATATACCATTTTTTAAAACTGTTGGTTTCCTGAAAATTTCTGCATCTTCGAGCCTCCTGCGCAGAGGCAAGAATCACTACGCATGCATCTCGGTGCACAACGGACATGACCAAGCTCCAGAACATGTTTTCTTACGTGACCAGAATCCACTTTCATTTACCACCCCCCCCCATGAAAGTTGGAAAGTGAAAGTTGAACGGTCCGGAAAGGGACGTACCCCCCCCCCAATTTTCATTTATTAAGAATAGGGAATGTTTGGAGGCATCCCTGGAGTATCTCTGAGGAGTCTCTGGAGTCCTCTTTGCACTTGACATCGAGATCAGCGGACCTTCTAGCCTGACCTAATTTGTAATCCACGGGAATTGCCTCCCAAGACTGGTTTCGTTCTCGGCAGGAAGGCTTCAAAGCCGCAGGCTGCTCGCTGAGGCTTCAGGGGATGCGAAGAGGATCGGTTGTGCAGCTCTGTGGTCTAAAAGGGTCGCAAAGAGTGCTCTGGGAGCCAACATGAGCTAGACCATACACTACAAGAGTTTCGCGCATGTTGGGATTTCAGCCGAATGCCACGTGATCCTTGGCGCATTTGTTGCTTGCTTTGCTATTTGCTGCCGCAACGCAAATCGCCGCTCTGGACACTTGTAAGAGGGCTGTGTGTCAGAAGAACAAACAGCACACAGCAAGCAGAGCCGCGGGCTCAAACACCTCGTAGCGAGGAAAGTTCGCAGCTGAGAGCACAATGACGGCACCGAAATTCCTGCAAACTCCCGTGTAGGTTGGTCTACCAGTGCACCATGCTAAGCAACCCGCACCCTCCATCACCACAATAGTTGCTGGCACTGAAGACAGTGACGCAACGATCATTGTGCTGCTTCTGGAAGCCACGCCTGACAATTGCTTGTCAAAGCATTGCCCGGAGACTCAGAACGCAAATCCCCCGCACCCATCTTCTGGCACTTGATGGCTTCTGACCAGGAACCTGAAGAAATCAGCAGTTGCACATTTTACGAAACGGCGAGGTGCCAGAAGCAACATATCCGCCTGAGACGATTCTGGCTGCAAAACTTCGTCGTCACGTCGGGCCCGTATTTGATTCCAACACCGCGATCTGACCTGCCAGCTTACGGAGTTGGGTCTACAGCAACGACAACAATCAAGCTGTTCTGAATTCCACTAGCAGTATCCATGCTCAACCGCTAGCCGCTAGCCGCTAGCACTTGCTTGCACCCGCTCTTGCGCGGTCCTGCGCCTAATGCTTAGTTACGCAACACGAGGCGGAGTTTTAGAAAGGATCTATCTGCATCTGACAGCGCAGACTGCAAGCGAGGCAGGACAGCTTGTACTTCCCCTCATGCTCTGTGGGATCGCTCCACAACAGATCCGAGAAGAGTTGCTCCTGGCAGATTGAAGCTCTTCTTGCTCGGCCTGCTGCAAACTGCCAGGAGCCCACGTCAGCTGAATGTCCTTGACGTTGCTGGACATAGGATGCGGCGCCGTGTAGTCCTTTTGCAAGCATTAATGGGGGATTGAATGAAGCTCCCAGGTGTTGGCCCGAAAAGTCCGTAGCATGGACATGCACACACTTTACGCGTGTATCTTGTCATGAAACTTGACGTCCTGGAAAGGCAACGTATTGATATAGTCAATCGTCAGGTTCTTCACCTCGCTCACATGTGCGGCGACTCGGGCGTGAAAAGAATAAGCAGAAGTATGGCAAGCGCTCGCGTCAACCCGCCATGCACGACAAAGATCTCCTGCACATAGTTGACCACGCGCACACACTCACACGCACTCTCACACAGGAACAAGCTGGGCAAGTGTAAAATCCGTTCCATCTTGAGATCTGAGCTGTTCGGCGCGGCCTTGTTAATGACGGATGCCAATGACATGACCTTGAAGGAGCTGACGAAGTGCCGGTACCTGAAGTGCTGGGACTACGCCAGGTCAGATACAGAATAAAATCCTGAGGCCGCGTGCACAGACAAACCATACTTCTCCATCACCTATCAGAATCAGAATAGTCCAATCTGTCTTGACAGATGAGCTGCCCAGGAACCTCATCTTCAAATCCTCCGCCATTGTCAGCATGCAAAGCGTTCATGTCCTCGGAAGCAGGAAATCTGCGGCTGCTATTCATTCCTTCGATGTTGGCCGATGTTGTGGCCACCATGCATGCCTTGCATGCCTTGCCTCGTTCTCGTGGTTGCCACGATGCACGATGATGGACCTAAATCATGCAAACTGGCAGGAATATGCAGCTGTTCGTTAATGCCCACCATGTTGAATTTGAAGCCTCAAAATCTCTGAGGTCGAAACTCAGGGTCTGCCAGGAAAAACGCATAGAGAATCAGAAGGATCTCAACGCCCTACCATGTCACTAAATTCTTCCCGCTTGTGATCAGCAATAGTGGACTCATGTCGGCTTCATCGGATTCATGGGACGTATCTGGACATGCCCATCTCCGCGCCTGCCCTCCCCTATCGACCATGTCTCCATTGAACAGATACCTGTGGCCAAGATGCAAGCACATGTCTGCACAGAGCCCCGTTGCTTCTAGCTATTTCTACCTGAAGACCAACCACAAAGGGCAGCAGCAGTGCCTGTTCTGCGCACTTGGCGGACCGAGGTGATAAAGAATGTGAAGCACCTGAAGCAGTCCTTTAGCTGCTACACGCAGGAGCTTTCTCCACGCTACTCCAAAGCGCGCGACATTCAGTCTGCGCTGCGATCCCCACACAGCCCTTTCAACACTTCACCGAGCGAAAGGCCGCCATGGGCCTGTATGAGTCTGCGACATGTTTGCTTCACTGCGGGCTTCGCCGCTGCACTCCACAGAGATTAACCAGCATCTCTCTTCGTCTGCTCGAATTTGTCGAGTTCAAGTATCAGGACGACGCCAGTTGATTGTTTTCAAAACATCTTCTGGCCTTAGGTATTTGGACAAGTCGTTGCCGACCGGGCATCTGGAGCATTCTGGACCACATTCCACAGCATGTAGACCAAATGCTCCCTGGAATTATCCCAGACGCAGGGTCAACCTTTGGCAACAGCCTCCTCTTCCCTTGCAAGCCATCGTTTGATTCATGAGCTCTTCAGCCCATGTGCCTGAAAATTTGCTGGAAACCCAGCTGTTGTCAAGGCGGGAACCCACTTCAGAAACGGAGCTCTGCAATGCAAACCTCACATGTCACATAGCAGATATATCTCAGCTTCAGACATCTGCAAGTTGGCCGTGCGTGTCACCAACAATAACCAGCCTGCTAGGACGGCAAAACCGCAACTGCTGGACACTGAATTGTCAGTGATGCCTTCCATCTGGTTGTGGAACATCAGTGTAGACCACAGGCTTGGGATGTCGCACGGAATAGGCGGACACGAACTGGGTAATGAGGTGGGTCACATGCCTTGCATAAGCGGACTTCACACTCTCGCGTGCCAATAGCTCGTGGGCTGATCTGAGTCACGGACTTTGCATGCAGAGGACTCTTGGCCCCGGAATGTAGAAAGTGGTCTCGGCACGCCGAGCCATCAGGCATAAGGCGCAACGACAACAGACAAGCACGGGAAGCTGACCTAGGAGCTGCCGCGCGCCCTCCGGCGTCATAGGCAGCTGAATCCTGGACGAGACTTTTAATTACCGAACCAGTTCGCACAAAAGATGTAAACTCTCGCCTATGACCAGTCCAGTCGGACGGGACCCCCAAGTCATCACAGCCGCCCTGCATTGCACAATGCATGATACCGCAGCTCAGCAACGCACTAGGCAAGACAGCCTTCGGTGCAACTCGTTTTCGTTGTCGCGTCTTCCTTTCTTTCGACCCGGATTGCCGCAGGTACTCGGTCACGTTGTGACCCATCTGCGCCTGAGCTCACTAAGCTTACACGTGTTGATACTCTAAGGTCTGCAAGCACCGGCCCTGGGCCCTTGCCGACTCCACAAAGCTGGCCTCATCCTGCGTCTCTGTGTTGAGGAGCCTGCTTCGCAGTCCATGCAAACTGAGGCAACCTGACCGACCTGCTTGAGGCGCTGGCCGCTCAAAGGAAGCGGCCCCTTTGGCGCCCATTCCTGCATTGATTTTGGTCTGGGCAAGAAGCATCGCAGACCCAGCTCAAACGGACAGAGCAGTCCTTTCAGCGCAGTGCCGTTGAGGATCCACGAGAGGAACTCTCTCCAGTCCACACCTCAACCAGCAGGAGTGAAACACAACATCGCTAAGAACATTAAAAAATCAGATGAGTTTTATTGTATTGTAAGTGCTTCCAGCCGTTTGAGGTGCGTGCTGTTCGAGCAATCCGTATCAGCTTCTTTGAAGAGACGCTTTATCTCCTCGCAACTCGCGAAAGCAATCAAATGCTGAAGGAGGGCATGAGGGCCATGAGGGCATTGGCTCATCACCGTGTCCTTGGGGCTGAAGCCTCCAAGACTCGACATAAGTTTTTTGAACTCGTCGGCCTGTCGGGCACTCTGTCTTTAGAACGTTCAAGTTTAAGTCAAGGCTGAATCGACCTGGATTTTGCCATCCCCGTTGCTATCGAACTTTGCGAAGCAATCTCGCAGCTGCTTCTCCTGTGAGCATTTAGTCTTTCCACACAACTTTGCGGAGCTGCAACATGCTCAGAGACATTCCTGCTCGGACATGTTTTCATCTCCGGACATTATCCTGACCAGCATGATAGGACGTGAAAATGGATGTGGCTGTGAGCAGCACTGAAAACATGCAAGCCAGTGAACCTTTAGATTCGAAGTCGCCCAACACGGAACATAGGCTGCAAGCACTCTCAGTCTGCAGAGGTGACCTTATGCTGTCCTGTGAGGGCGCTGGCTGTTGGGTACATGCACCCTTTTGATTGGCTATGGATACCAACTGTCTTTGAATTGCTGTGTCCATCATATGCATGTCAAATGGCTGCAGGCGGGCAAGGGAGTCAACCACAGGACATGACAGGAGCTGGGGATCTTTGTGCTACTTACGACCAGCAAAAGCCCCTTCAACAAAAAATGATAACGTTGGTTCACGGAATAGTTATGGTTGAGTCTCCTAAACAGTTTTCTTGCAATTCGATGAGACAAGCCAGCCCTCTCCGCCTGACTTTCCCATTGCGGCCCTTCCGCGGCTTCCAAGCAGGAAGGCAAACGGGATCAAGTGTGCGCCGGGTAACCTTGGTTAGCTTTTCCTCTGGAAGCAAGCAGCTTCGTAAGTCTTCCGTGGTTGGTTAGCAGAATCCCGGACCGGTGTCACTTGCTCAGATCGCAAAACAAAATAATGAAAATCGGCAGCGGGTGTGCATCTGCATCAGGTGAGTGGCTGTGGCCATGAGTCTCCAGTGCCGTCCCAAGGCCCTCACACTGACAGAACTCAGAGACGGTCGACTAGATTTGGCTCACTTGCATCTTCCCAGCTTCTGCATATGTTTGCCGCTCATTCTGTATGATTCCATACTTACAAACGACTTGCTAAGCTTCTTTGCTTGACACCTTGCCTTGTTTTTGAACGCTGGGCAGCAGCAGAAACTCTTCGGTCGGGCAGTGCCCATTTGTGCACATGTTGGGCCGGCCGGCAGCACCATCCACTCAGCAAGCTCTTCGCAGACTTTAGGAGGCTACCAGAAGCCCAATGGTGCTGGTAGTGCTCCTCAGGCATCATTAGCATGATTGGGTCTCCGCTGCTGAGACCCCGGGCATGCCCACACGGACACCACGCGCAGTTACATTGGAGATAATGGTTTTTGACATGAAAGCTCTGCTGGCTTCCATCTGTTCGATGGGCGTCATTGGATTTACCCTTCCTTCAAGCTGCACCATGCGCGCAAAGCCTGGGCATGATGCTACTGCTAATCGTGGTAGCAGCAGGAGCAGCAGCAGCATCAGCAACTCTGGTGGTCTTGGCAACTCAAAAATGTGCGGAAGTATTCATGAGATTAACTTCTAGGATTCTAGGCTGTATTCCGGCATCCTTCTGATAATCAGCATTTTCCTCTTGGCCGAACAAAGTCAGATCAGCCAAGATAACTCCGTCAGAGCCCAGACAGCTTGGATTTGGTGTCGTGCTGCTCGCCTCGGCGGATCACAGGATGTTTCGCCCGCTCTGAGTCCGCAAAGCAAAATTACTCTGGGGGAGACGCGGTTTGTGTCCTTCCCGGTTGCTTGTAGCTGTGCGTCCACTGCAATGCTTTTGTCGGGCTTAGGCCTGCGGAGACGAAGCTGCAGTCAGAAAGCAATCATATTATGACTTGAAAAAGCTGCCGAATTGATTGTTGAAAGGAGGTGTCGAAATCCAAGATCTTACGTATCCGCTGGCTGCGGTGAAGCTAGCCTGCTGTGCCCCCGCGCACCACTCAAGGTTTGCGCCTGAGCGAGGCGGGCTGTTATTACGTGTCTTCTCTTGGACTTGCTGCGGCTTGCTACTTCTTCCCCCTTTCGTGACTCATCTTCCGGGCATGCTTGGACTGTAGAACCTTCAGCGTTGACAACACCACATTCTTCTCACCACCTGGATCTGAACTTCCCAGCAACGACTGCACAAACTGCATATGACTGAACAGCCCTGTCCCTGTCTGACATGAGTCGGCTTTGGAGATGTTTGAGGCATCAGCTTCGGGACCCATTGAGAGCCATCATCCTTCTCTCGCCTCATGGTCATGGACTCTTTGAGCAGTCAGAAAGTCTTTGCCACCGAGCCATAGGTGGCGTTGGCTCTCATGGTGTTGAGCTCTAGTTTATCTAGACAGTTTTCGTCTGTCCTGCTTCGCCGTGGCTTGTCAGGCTCCTGCACTGGCCAACTTCGCCACCTGGTCCGTCACAACAAGCAGTCCTTAAAGTCCTTGTGTTCTGCATCCTTCTCCCGCCATTTGCCTTGAGACCTGATGCAGAGCCCATGGAATATGAGTTAGGTTGAGAATCTTTGTTTGAATTTGCACACTCACACGTAGCAACGCGAATAATTACCGACACTGGCACTCCTTGAAGCGGTGCCGAGCGAGTTGACAGGTAGTGAAGGAGCATGAAGAAACCGAACAGTGAATCGGCGCACGCGGTTTGATGGAATTGGTAAATGCGATTGGAAAGTCCAGGAAACTTACCACGGCAAAATTCGAGCCGCTCCAGATTCATAGAAGATGCTGAAGTCACAGGCCACCCGCCACTGCTGGGTAAAAACGAGGCCATCATCGAAGGCATCACCCTCAGCCCTCAACGTTCCCACTGGCCGTCCTGCGGCAGCCCGCGACTCACCCACAAGCTGGGCAGTGAGGATTAGGCAGAAACGATGTTCGCGCCCTCGCAGAAGGCGTGCATGTGGGGGAGTCGCGATTTGATGCTTTTCCAGCCCGAAAATACTTAGAGCGCGACTCCCCCGGAGGCCAGGGACATAGGAGGATCTCACAGAGAAGAGGAACTGCGCTTGTAGAAGACCAGTTGCTGTTGTAACCATTTTCTTGAGCATCCTTATCACCATTTTCACCATCCCCCCAGCGTCGCATCAGCAAGCCCCAATCACATTTGCCATCACCTTCACTACAGTATCACCGTCCACACTGCCTATTGTCATGTGAACCGACCAAACTGATGAATCCAACCTACGACCAGTATGCTCAAAATCAAGTCCACTTTGAACACACCGCCAGCGCTTACTGCGTGGAGCAGAAAAATCCCAGAATCTCCGCATGCGGCAGATTCGAAGTTGAAGATGTGGCCTGCTCCCGGACAGGCGGCATTCAACAACTGGCATGTGTCACGAGGTGAGCACATGGATCTATAGACACTCAGCTGCATGTCTAGAATTCGTATTATCATTTGATTGCTGCCGGCCGCCTTGGGAATCTTTAAGTTTTGGAGGGGAGAACCAGGCTCGGTACAGGCGATCAATTAACGAGGAGGCCGCTGTATCACTTCTGAACCCCAAAATACTGAACTTCCCACTGAAAACTCACATTTTCAGCTATTTTACAGATTTGCTGGAAGCTTTGTCTGCATCATAGTTGCTTGTGGAGTCAGAGCTCGGGGCTTGATGGCAAAACGTGATGTTTGCAAGGATGTGCTCCTGCTCCTTGTTATCCTCCAACCCATCCTTCTGTCCAAAGCGCTTTTTGATGGCAAGCCCACGCATGGCATGAAGATGTGAATGTCCCATTTCTCACGCTTAGACCCCAGCATTCAATCTTGTTACGCAATTTTTTCATTTCCCTCATGAGACATGGCTCTCCTGAAATACTCCGTCCTCGCCAATCCGGGTGACTGTCATGGTTCCACTGGACTTGTCTTTTTGCCTGAATCCTCTCATCTAATCCTTTCACTTCAATAGGGAGCTCCCATGCGAACCATACCTTCATTCAAAACTCTTTTCCTTAGACAGGTTCCTGCATGATTCTCTCACCTTCTCTGCAGAGGATCCTTGTAAATCTTGCCCTGTAAATTGCATCGAGATGAACGCCATGCATATCAGTTTCACAGGTCAGCACAGGCCTCGAGCTCTCTTATTCCTTGCTTGAGAACACTCATGCTTGATAAACACTCAGATAATTTGAAATTGATACTGATGGAGCCATCGTGAAACCCCAAGACCAAGTCTGCACAGCATAACTTTCTCTGTTGTGTTGTTTGGAGGAATTGTAGTGAAAATGGTACATTTATCTGCCTTGAGATCAGTTTCCGCTTCAAAAAGTTATCGCTGTGCCGATTAGCACTCCAGGAAGATTCCCGGTCCAAGCGGAATTGCTTCATGATCTTGCCGGATAGCTCTGAATCAGTGAGCCCCAGGCATGCAAATGTAATTTGCAAATGGCAACTGAGCCATGAGTCTGAGGCTGCAGATTTAGACGTGAAGACTTGGCGAAGGCAACGGAAGGGCCTGACCCACAAGAAATGATCTGAAGCCCACAGGCTAGAGTAGGCCAGCGATACCGCACTGATACCCAGGCGCACTCATTCTGTCGCCAAATGTCGCGGTGGCAACTGCGCTGTTACATGTTCACATGTAATTCGTTTCTGATTGGACATGGGGCTAGTACGTGAGGCAGGACAAGCCTTGGACCTCTGCACATGAAGCTGAAAAATGCATAGGTCGGGACCTTCGCTTGGAACCTTCCTGTGGCTTCGCCCTTAGCTTGTCAGCCATGCAGCCGTGCAGATGTATGCAGCAAGACGTAGCGACATAGTGTACATGTCGAGGAACTCCTCCCACCACTCCTCGGACTCTTTGGCCTTGGACCTTCGAGCAGGTGCTTCTAAAGGCTCATTCATCTCAGTCCACCCCAGCTTTTACCACACCTTTTGGATTTTGATCTGCTTCCCTCTTGCTCACCCCAGTAGTCCTCGCAGTCAAGTGTCTGCATGCTCGACCGCTGCACCAATCTCCACAAATTGCAGCGGTTCGCCTCTTCGTGCCAGTGGCAGGCACCATACTCCTCTTCAGCATCCTGCGCAGCATTCACAGCGTTGGACTGTGAGACCCTGCAAGCAGCATTGCCTTGGCTTTCTTTTTCTTCTTCTTTTTCTTGGGCTCCTGTGACCGCAAGTTCATAATAATGCTCAGGAGAGTAAGGAGATCTCCTCGGAAGCTTCTGCATCATACCAGCCCCAGTCATCCTCAGTTTGGGCGTGAGCATGCGGGGGCGCGTGACAGCAGGTTGAAGACTTTCTGCGTCCGGGAGTCGCCATGCTCCGAGTACCAGTTACTGCAAGGCAGGCTCACCAGAAGCTACCAGTACTGCACAAAAACACTGAATCATGCGTACTGCGGTTGACAAGGCCTGTCATTTTCCTGCCATTCTTCTTCATAATCTGCCTTCTTTTTCTTTTTCTTCTTCTTCTTGCTGCTCGTCTCCTTGCACCATGCGACTGGGACTGTTGAAGTGGATACGGAGACCTCAAACCAGATCAATGGCTCGGCCAGCTGCTGAGAAGGACTTCAGACAGGCCAGCCCGAAGGCGCGGCCATGGACAAGCAGCCGCATGTCAAATTACCGTGGGCTCGTCTTTCTGGCACTGTTTGCGCAGACGTTGCGCCGACTGCGCAGATAGTTCTGCAAAAACACTTGTGCGGTCCTCGCACCAGTCCTCTTCCTCCTCTTCTTCTGCATACTCCTTCATGGCACAAGTGCGTAGCTGCACAAATCTGCACTAGCACCATCTCAAAAAGTGGCCGTATGCCGCGAAAACTAGGAAGCCTCGGCCAGCTCGGCCTTCTTGGACTTCTTCTTCTTCTTTTTCTGCTTGTACTCCTGGATTCAGAAATTCCAACGACCACTGCTCAATCGGGACCTCGCTTGACTCCTGGGCTTCCCAGATCTCCCAGCAATACGTGCAGTAAAATGTGCCTTCCAGGAAGCATACAAAAAAAAGTGCTGCTTCTGTGTTGTGAGCAAATTGCTCAATATAAGGCTTTAAAGCTTTGGAATGTTGACAAAGGCTTGATGGGGGCACTGCTTGCGAACACTCGTGCAGCGCACCTCTGGCGTCTGGATCTTCCTCCAGATGCTTCACTGTGCCACACCTCAAGATGCGAGACATAGGATGCTCTGAGAAGTGTGTTGTCACTGCAGAGCTCCCGAAGCAGCTACTGAAGCACAAGGAGGTCCATGGCGCTTCCGCGTGAGTTGCAAGAAGCACTTTTTTTGATCTGGTGTGCCCTGGACACACTGGTTGGTATACTTCCCTAAGTGTCGAATCTGGGAAGTGCCTGCATCAGGTCTGCAGCATTAAATACACGTGATGTACACTTCAGCCTTTCAGCGGGATGAGTTAATGCGTAGTGAGAGCTCACAACCAGATCTGCTTACATGTGCGCAAATTAGCACTTCCACATGAAAGATGTTGGCCGCAATCTGTTGGACCGAACTGCCATGCGGCAGAAGTAGCACCATCCCACGCGATCCATCACCGTAGGCAGTCGGGTCAAAAAAAGCCCCTACATGAGGCTTTCATGGCGGATGGCTTCTTTCCGGGGTCGCTTTGTTGCCGGCGGCGGCGATGTGGACGGATAGTTTTGCCCACGGAAGTTTTGCAAACCCGAGCATGCACACGATGGCTGGGCTATCATAGGACAGCTCCGTAGGATGTCCAGAGCTGGGTTTCGTGTTTTCGTCTGAAAGGGATGTGTTACCTCTGAGAAACGTTCATGTGTAATCGACGAGCAGAAACAATTCAGGCTCTCGAAGGCATGGTGCTAATCCAGCATCCCCAAATCATTCTCGAAAAGCTCTCGATGCTATGAAACTTTGGTGGGTTGTAGGAACTGAAGGAATATGAGGGCTCTTAATGGATGAACTTGACGATTTTTGCTACCATCAATTACTGTTGTGAGGGACCACTACGAGCATGTGCTGGTGAAGTGGCGAAGGCTGGAGCTGGTCAGCGTGTTTTAGGCCACATATTCCTAGATACCCTCTTCGCAACAGACCGCTTCCGCTTCACCACAAGCACCACCCGAATCGCACCATCCTCGTGGCTCATCCAAATAACGTGTCCTACAAGGGCTTAACAGCTTTCGATGTAAAGGTACATGCATGGCCAACGCTGTGTCTCAAGAAAGACACACCAGACGTGCACATGATGCTGTGATGCCGCCGCACCCTGACTTTGGAACTTGCGGAATAGTCAAGGTGATGATTGATACAATAACAAAGGACACGCTTGAAAGTAGGGACACAGGAGCTGAGTGACGGATGAAGGAAAGCCACAGAAAACAGGATTGCGTTGGGGAGCAGTGAGGCGGTGGAGGACGGTGACTACGAGGAGGCGATGTAGCACAAGGAGTAAGGAGCAACATTCTGCAAAAGAAAGCAGCCCATCAGAAGAATCATGATGGTGGTAGACATTGATTGGTGGCGATGCAAGAAAAGACGAGGAAAAGGGAGATGATTATGTGGGAAACTGCTATTATGACCTGATGGTGCCGGTGAATGTGATTGTGAAAATGCAGACCCATCCCTTGAACTCAGACATGTCTTGTAAAGCCACAAATATCAAACCTCTGTGCAGTGAACCGCAGCATGGGGCCTAGCGATGGATACAAAAGAGTCTGAAGTGTAAACCACTGTGGGCTGAAGCTCACCGTAGTAGCGGAGCGTCCGATTAGTTTCGCGTGCTCTGCTTTGTGACATGTCTCCTCGGAAGACCGCGTTGTGCGGGAATCCTTTTATGGGTCTGCCCCTGCTGTTTATCGGCGCTGGAAGACGGGCGCAGTTGATGCTTGCATCCTTGCCCAATACGGTGCCGAAGGAGAAGCTGGGGCCACGCCTGATGCAATGCATCAAGCGGGAAGCGAAAGCGGTCTGTGAAGCTATCGCTGCTGAGAAACTCTTTTCTGAGGATGGAGACAAAGTGGTGTTCAACTTGCTTGATGCACGCTTTGGATCATAGCCGACGGACCTTCTTCAGAAGGCACTCAAGGAGTTCTTTCTACGAGCTCCAGATCAAGCAGGGCGAGACATATCAGCAGTTTCAAACAACATTTTATGCCGCCAATCAGAAGCTGCAATTCATGATGAAGAAGCTGAGATTGGACCTTACTCAAGAAGCACCTTTGCTGACAGCTACTAAGGGTGAGCTCAGGAAAGATGAGATCGCCCAAGCAATCTAGGCTGTGTTACCAGAGGGCAAGGGCATTCCGCACCAAAAGCATCGGGATGTCTTCTATGCGTCAGAGGACGGCGAGACAATTGGCGCCGAGGAACACCGAGTTCCAGGATGTTCTTGAGGCTCTCGAGGAGCTTCAAGCGTAAGACCAGGTGGATGACGAGTCCATTTTGGAGGCTTTCGAGACCTACTCCGAGATCAGGAAGAAGATCAGGGAAAAGAAGAGGCAACGCAGCTTCACTCTGAATGACGGAGCCCGCTGGAGACTGTCCGGTACGGTATCCGGCAAGTTAGAGCAACTGAAGTCGCGCAATCGTTGTCATGTCTGCAAGTGCTACGGGCCCGGAAAAGGGAGTGCCCCATGAAGGGCAATGGTAAAGGCAAGTCAACAGCAGCCTCTTCCAACAACAGCTCGACTGGGAAGACTGTGGAGGCTCACAAGGCAAGCGACGTGTATGTCACAGTGGACATGGAAGCTCGTGATCTGCTGCAGCAAGTTTGCCGTTCGAAAGGTGACATAGGGAAAGGACACTTCCGAAGATGTCCGCGATAGTAGGTTTGCCGACAGCCACTCGACTGGCAATCGCCAGCGCCGGGCAAGGCACAGTTCGAGCAGAGACACAGTGGTTGACCATGAGTGCGGACAAGGCCCCACGCTGCGTTCTTTCTCCCTTGAAGAGGTATTGAGCGCTGAGTCCGCTGTAGAAGTGCCTAGTTTTGACCCAGCTTTGGCTGCGCGTGGACTGCCAGACACTGCTTGCAGGCGAATGCTGGTTGGAGCCTACACGTTGCAGAATATTGTTGATGTGCTCGTTGCTCAGGGGTTGAGTGTTAGACGGGCCAATTGCCATAGCCACTTTAGGTTCGGTAATGCGGGGGACGCTTTTCAGCGAGCAGATTGAAATATTTCCTGCAAAGATCGGTAGCAAGGTAGTGTGTGTGTCCAGGCAGCAGTCCTTGAAGGACATTGTAGGGAGACTCCCTTGCTCCTTTCTTGAACTTCTTCGTAGGTTAGGTGCCGTCATGGATATGGATCATGATAGGTTTACTTTCGCCATCTTGGGGAGACCATTAATTTATGGGAAACCCAAAGGGGCCACTATGGTATACCCATGTTTCAAGATGTCAGCATAGCACTTCACCGTCAAGGACAACCTCATGATATCGCTGAAGGATCCCTTGAAATAGGGGTCGAGGCGAAGGTGAATGTCAGGGAGTATGACATGGACATGTTGGAAGCAGATCCTCGATTAATCCCGTTGTGGAATGGTCGCGCTGAAAACCGCAGCAGCCCATTGGCGTGTGAAAACGGGAAAAACCCTTTCGAAGAAAGGTAAAAAAAACCCAGCTGTACAGGCGCGGGGGCGCGAAGGGACTAACGCTATGTGCAACGAGCGTGCCAAAAGCGCGCAGGCAAGGCGAGGCACTAACATAAGGCGAATCCCGAACCTAAACGCACGAAAACAGGCAAAAAACGGGCAGGGACCTAGAACCAAAACCCTAAGCCAAACCCAGGGGCACCCCGGGGGAGCGGCAGTACATGGCAGAACTGGAAAGAAGGCGACTGGCGGCATGCAGGCCGGCAACAGGAGCAGAACGGGAGAAGTCACCAAGAAGCAC